AGCGATATAACGCTTGAATTGATGAAGATTTGTGTCCAAATTTTCAGTAAAAAGATAGTAATTGATAGTTTTTCATTTTAAGGCAATCTTAGAGCTTAACAGTTGAATCGTCTGTTTAAATATTTCTTGTCATTTATCGTATGGAAAGATAATATGCAAATCTTCAAAATCTTATGCAGTATTATGGAAGACGAATACTTTGTTCAATGGTAAAGATTGTGTGCAAATTTTTAAAATTATTAGTAATCTTATAGATTTTACATGGCTATTATAGAGAGATAATTAATACAAAGAGCATTCTGCTTTAAATATGGTTGTTGCTGGTATAGATAAAAAGTTGTTATAGATAGATAAATATAACTTAAAAAATCAGTTCCGATGAAAACTTAACTTTTATAATAAATGATTGTTATACAGGGATGTTATTACCTCTTCTTTTGTTTTGAAAATGCATGTCGATGTTACCATATGTATTCTTGACAAATTATAATTTGTAATAATCCTAGTTTTAACTTTTAAATACCATAAGTCTCTATTACCGAAAAATATGACCTGGCAAACAAAACTGATCCAATTTCTAAGCCAGCCACGTTGACAGATGCATTTAGTTATAGGGAAAATTTCACATTAGAACAACTAGGTTCCCAATTTTTTAATTTTATAGCTTATATTTCAGTTTACAACCAATTAGTCCAAAAATAATAGGCTAAGGTTCAACATCCAACTCCAATAGGTTCTCAAAATTACTATTTAATTTTTAAAAAAGATTCTCAAGCTTTTAAGTTAATTTTCGAATCAATAACTGTGACTCAAATATTAGTTCAACAAACCAAATCTATTTGGATGGTGAAAATTAGATTTTTAACAAGCTTAAATATGTGAGTTTAAATTTTGATTTGTGAGAAATTTGGAGTGGGTATTATTTAGACTTGTTAGAAATAGTATAAGAAGGTTGTATATAAAATTTGAAGTCATTTAATGGAGATTTGGACTGGTTTTGAACAAGAATTGCAACTGAAAATCATAGAAGAAGTTCGTCTACAGACGCTTGTATAAATATGTATAAAAGTATATAGTAGTGTATAAGATGTGTTTATACACTCATATACACTATTATACAAGATTATACATAATTATACAAAAAAACTGATTTCGTCTTCTTCCTTGCGTCTTTTCTAGAATTTAACTCAAATCTTGCTCAAATTTACTCCAAATCACTTCAAATTTAAATTTTGAACTCCTTTTGATATTTTCAATCAATTGAAACAACACTCAATCCAAACAACTAACAAACTCAAAAAAATCCATTTTCGAAAGCAAAACTGGTTTAGCATTGAATACCTCCTATTAATGGCTAAACCATTGCTTATGAGAACAAAGTTTCATGTGTTGATCTAAGATTTTCTAAATTGCATATAGCAACACTTGTATGCATCAAATCAACAATATATGATAAGTCCTCCCTTCACAATTGGTTTAGGATCAGAAACCAAATATTTTTACTATTTTTTGTTGCGTGGTATATGATTAATTTCTCTACCATAATACACAAAGATATGTTTCCCAAAGATGATTGGGGATATATGTTAGTTTTTCTAACATTTGGGGGATGGAATAAATAGTTGAAAAATATGCTATATGAATCGAATTATCATGATCCTCACTTAGAAGATAATTCAAGTCGAATGCCAGAAGCATTTGCTGATCTAAAATTAAATATCATATTTCAGCTGCAAATGCTCCTATTAAAATTAAAGTCCCTGAAGGATAGAGTTTACTGTACGCATGAAGCGTGGTAGACCAATCGGTTCCAAAGGTAACAATCCTTGAAAAATAGTAGGAGCTAATGATCAAAATGAGGAGGAAATAAGCTCTAGAAGAGCCCACGACATAACATTTCATGAAACTCCCGAAAAAGTTCAGGTACCTGAAAATAAAGAAAGTGATGAGATCTCCACAAGTTATGTCGCTTCGGAACTGACACAAAATGATCGTCGACGATATATTTGATACAATATAGTGCACAATATTATAAAAGATTGTGAGGATCGGACCAGCAGTCCAGACACTTGAAGATGTCATACCATTTAGATACAAGTCTTAACCTATATGACTTATTTGGCTAAATCTATATGAAGATCCTTGAAGGATTGAAAATGCCCGAAGCATATAATTCAAAGTCTTGAGAAATGTACTCGATCAAATTATAAAGATCTTTGTACGGTTTAAAGCAATCTGTACGCGTGTGGTATGATCGCCTCAGTAAATATTTGCTGAAAGAAAGTTATATAAATTATGTTATTTGTCCATGTATGTTTATAAAGAAAATGTCATCAAAATTTGTTTACACTTGCTGTTTATGTTGGTGACATAAATCTTATTGGAACTCCAAAAGAGCTCCAAGAGGGTCTTAAAAATACTTTTACATGGACAAAGTGTACCCATTAAGTACACCAATGAATATTCAATCACTTGAAGTGAATAAGGATCCGTTCCAACCTCTAGAAGAGGATGAGGAGCTCCTTGGTCCTGAAATACTCTATCTCGGTGTAGATGGTGCACTTATTTATCTTGCTAATGCTAACAAAAGTGGTGCAGATCGTATTGGTAATGTATATGCAAGTTATTTATTCGATACCCATAAAGCTCGATCTCAAACCAGGGAGTGCATATGATTGAGATCAATGATTCATTCGAGAAACATGTGGGTTGTAATGTGATAAAAAACCCACAATATTATACGGAGACAATGTTTCATGCATAGCCCTATTAAAGGGAGGATTTATAAAAGAAGATAGAACGAAGCACATTTCACCAAAATTATTCTACACACACGATCTTCAGAAAAATGGTGACATTGATGTGCAATAAATCCGTTCAAGTGATAATCCAACAAATTTATTCACTAAATCTTTGACAACTTCAACTTTTGAGAAGATGATATACAAGATTGGAATGCGGAGACTCAAATATTTGAAACAAGGTTTTCATCAGGGGGAGTAAAATACGCGATGCACTATTTTTCCCTTACTAAGATTTTTTCCCGTAGGGTTTTCCTTATAAGGTTTTTAATGAGGCACCTAGTAATGCATATTACTAAATATGTGTACTCTTTTTCCTTCACTAGGATTTTTTTCCCACGTGGTTTTTCCTAGTAAGGTTTTAATGAGGCAAATTATCTTTTAATGAACATCCAAGGGGGAGTATTATAAATATATTATATTATGGATGTTCATTTAGTACTCCGTTGTAAATAAGCTTCCTGAAGAAGCTTATCCATATGGGACTACACCGTAAATATGTTTATCTATTTAAGTACTCTATTGGAAATAAGCTTCCTGAAGAAGCTTATCACTTCGGTACCCGGTTATGGATAAACATTACCCCCGGTAGAAGATTACCCATACCGGGTATAATAAGCTTATCCTTTCAGTCCCCATTTATGGATAAACATTATCCCCGGTAGAAGATTATCCATACCGGGTATAATAAGCTTATCTTTTCAGTACCCAATTATGGATAAACATTATCCCCGCTAGAAGATTATCCATATCGGATATAATAAGCTTATCCTTTCAGTACTCCGTTATGGATAAACATTGCTCTCAGTAAAAAATTATCCATATCTGGTATAGTAGCAGCTTACACAACAACTTCCTTTCTTCTATAAATAGAAGAGATTTCAGTTCATTATGTACATTAGTTTGAATTCGAATAATATATCAGTTTCTCTCTATATTTGTCTTTACTTTACCGTCTTTATTTTATAACAAAAACCGTGCTGTCTTTTACTAAAAATATTATTTTAGTAATTACACATTAAGGAACAAAATGCTTACCTGATTAGGTACCCTTCCACTAGTACATATATCAAGTAATTTTCACTTAAACAAAAAAAATGAATATGTTATCTATTGTCAATTTTGTTGAGATATGAATATTAGTGTTCAGAAATGTCACTTTAGTTCTCAAACTTTAACGACTTGTATGAAGAACACATATCTTCATAAAAATTAAAATTAGAATACAAATCATCTAACAATTGTTAAGTAATATATATATATATAATATGTTTTATACTCATTAATTTTTGTGGTATTAGTTACTAATGTTTGCATCAGGTAGACTGCTTACATCACACCCGTTTAAGGTACGATCCTTCCTCGAACCCTGCGTGAATGAGATACTTCATGCACCAGACTGCCCGTACTCACTAATTTGATGTACAACCAAACCTCTCTATAACAACATTATTTGTTCCCATTTTTTGGATGTTATAAAGAATATATATTATAAAATAACAGAAAAATTGGTTCCATAAAAATCGTAGAAAAGACACTTGATAGCCACTTTAAAGGGCTGCTATTTAAGAATTAACCAGTGCATTTTGAATTTCAGTTTAAATTTTCCGGACAAAATGTCATGAATTGTTCTGAAGTTAAGGTCTTTAGTTTAAAATTTCAGGACAACATAGATACTGACTAATCTCTAAATAACATCTCGAAAATGGCCATTACCCCATAAAAAACTTGACCTTTATAATAAATGACATTATATAACAATGCTGTTATAGAAATATCACTGTAAACTTTTTTATAGATACATTTTTACCAAGTTAAAATATGATAAAGACAAAATAGGATAATGGGTTGTGTTAAACAAAAAAAATATGTTAGATAAAAGCAATGCTATGATATTTAAAGTACAACAACATAATAATACAAATAGAACACATAATATTCCAAACAACCTGTAAGCTACATACAATGTATCTCTCGGTATTTAATGTTTTTCTCGTACAGTAATTTTTTACTATAATTTTTTCGAAATTTTTTATTTTGTATCTTATACAACTGACATTAATTAATTGTACGAGTACAGTTTTGTGAACCGATATTTTTATGAACCCAAAAATAATATTATGATCCACAATAAGACAAAAAAAAGCCCCAGACAACTAACATCCGCTGTTACGCACGCATAAAAACTTCTCAATCTTTTTCCATAGCTCCTGCAAAATCTTACGTTTGAGCCGCATAAAGAAATTATGAGTTGGACCACTCGTAGTCCCTAGGGTCTCACTAATCTTTCTCCGCCGTCTGATCTCTTCTCTCTTCTCCTTATCTCTGTATTTTTGTTACAAATCATAACACAAAGGCTGAATTTCAGTGGATCCCGACAGTAACACTATCTCTTTCTTTCATTTCTACTTTTAGTCATGAATCAATCCTCATTTCTTACCTTCTTCAAAATATTAAATCTATTCTTAGTATTTTGAGAACTATTTTTAAGTTTCAGTGTCTGAGACGATGGAGGAGCGTAGCTCCACGCGATTACCAACGGGGAGCTACACGAACGACAATACCGTATGGGAGTGCGTGATACCGTACATAACGGAATCGCGTGACAGGGACGCGGTGTCGACGGTGTGCAAGAGGTGGTGGCAGATCGATGCGATAACACGAAAGCATATAACCATGGCTTTGTGCTATACGGCGAAACCGGAGCAACTTTCTAGAAGGTTCCCGCACCTCGAATCGCTTAAGCTTAAAGGAAAACCACGCGCGGCTATGTTTAATTTGATACCTGAAGATTGGGGAGGGTATGTTACACCTTGGGTAGTGGAAATTACTAAGTCGTTTAGTAAATTGAAGGCGCTTCATTTTCGGAGAATGATTGTTAGGGATTCGGATCTAGAATTGGTTGCGATGAATCGGGGTAAAGTGCTTCAGGTTTTGAAGCTGGATAAGTGTTCTGGGTTCTCTACCGATGGTCTGCTGCATATTTGTCGTTCCTGCAGGTATAATTTTGTTAAATTTGAATTTGATTTTGTCTTTCGTGTAAGTTATTTGCTTTAGTTAGCTGTTGTTACATGAGAATTATCCAGTATTTCTCATTGAAGATCCCAAAAGGATTTGCACTCAGTATAAGCTTATTTGCTGTATTTAGCTGGCAACTTACTAGTGAGCTGTAGTAGGTTGTGCATGAGCTGGTCCAAACACTACTGTTTTTCGAAAAAGGAAAAAAAAAAGAAGCTATCACGTATTGCTCAATTCTTAGAGATGTGTCTTGAATTTGTTTTCTCCTTTTTGTAGTTTCTTTTCCTTGTTATTTATTGCGTCTAATTTTTATAAAATGTTACTACTATAGTTTTCGAGACTTCATTGGTATGGAATGCTCTGCTATTATTGCTCTGAATTGTTGTCATGTTTATTCTTATCTATTGGAGTTCTAAATTTTTGTGGAGGTTGAGTTAAGGCTATTGGCCATTTTGTGACCTTTCGTTTTGATATGGTATTCTTCAAATATTGGATTGCTACGGGTCTAATTGAAGCGACATAGTTAGTAAGGATTTATATAGCTGACCTGAACTTGACTTGGGATATTGATGTAGCTGTTATTGTTTGTATTTTTTTTAAAGTTAATTTCCCACGGAGGTGCAAGAGAACTGGTAGATCAGGAAAATATAAAAAGATACAAAATAAAAGGAGCGTCCTTTTTCTTTCTTTAGGATTTCATATTGGTAGAAAAAATCAAATGGAGTTTGAATTGGTTAAGTATGTGTAAGCTTACAATGAATAAGGACAATATAAGATACTGTCTAGTAATGTGACATGGAACAACCAAACTGTTAGAGTCTTACATTGGTTGAGGGCGTGGCCTATTGTCTCCTTATATAGCTTTGGACCATCTTTACCTCATGAACTAGCTTTTGCAATTGAGTTAGGCTCAATGTTCTCTTTATATGGTATCAAAGCCAAACTCATCCCTCTTCTGGGTTTACTCAATGTTATGCCCACATTTTATATTGTCCATTCCATGCTCCAAATGTCTGGTCCCAGGTGTGCTTGAGGGCGAATGTTAGATTCCCATATCAGTTGAGAGTATGGTATGAGTTGTTGTTCCTTATATGGCCTTGGACAATCCGCACCCCACGAGCTTTCTTTTAGGATTGAGTTAGACCTAAGGTCCTCTTTACACAAACTTACTGTTGGTTCCATATATATATATTTTAATAATTAAGATAGTTGGACACAACTTAGGGTGGTTTTGATGGGGATTAAAATGTTTTCCATGAAGAATCATCTATTTTCTTGAATTTGGTTGGATATAAAAGTGGTGATATATGATAATTGTACAAGGTATAGCATCTTGAGTAAAGGTTTGTGCAATCTGTTGGTATTGATTGAGATCAATGATATGCATTTCAAAAATTGAATTATATTAAAGGAAAAAAAGCTTTTGGGCAGGAGTGATGGAAGTCATCTTTCTCCTTTTAATGGGAAAACATTTTCTACAATTTAATAACCTAACACTTGCAAATGCTTCCACGTTGAATGCTTTTTCGGAGAAGTATAGATGAAGAGCAATATATATCGAGACTAAAAGTGAAGTTAGTTTCCCCTTTATGGGAGTATTTTAAGAAAACAGTTGTTCAAGGTACCAAACAGTGAAAAAACACTTTTCGAAAAAGTATATTATACTGTGCCAAACACACCGGAAAGCATGCAGATATATGGATGGTGTTTCGGATTTGGTTTTGGCAGCATAGCAGAAATTCAGGGATTGGTATTAAACAAAATGCTTGAAAAAGCTATTGATCTGCATAGTGGAGCAAGAGCAACTAAGTGCTATTTCTTTTTTCTTTCCTTTTTTCCCCTCTTGGAGTCAATATTCTGGTTAGAATTTGTCTTGAGTTGTGCAATTAAAGTATGTTGCTTTGAGGTTTAGAGTCAAATTTTTAGGTGATGGGCTCCACGGTTCATGGATATCTGATTCCTAAAATTGTGAACAAAAGCAGCAATTGAATCTTTGTCGAGTAAGCATCAATAATGATGAGAGTGTCCGAGATCTTATAGATTTTGAGGATTAGGGTATGAGAGGTACCTATTTCGCTTGTCTGTCTGAGCAGCTGCTTCAATAAGAGTATGAGCACATATCTGAGAAAATAGGTAAGCTGTCTAGAATTGACCCACTTGCATGCAGCTTTTGTCATAAACTAATCATATATTGAACTTGATTGGAATAATATCACTCCCAATCAACTATCAAAAATTCTATGTAATTTTTCATGTGGAACTAAAACTTAATCATTTGATAACCTTTTTGTTTTTGTTTTTTTATAATCGAGAAATTCCTTAGGATTAGTGGCATAACGTTTGAAACTCGGTGGATAACAGCTTCGCCCCTCAACATTTCTCCACTTAAATCTCAAGCTTTTGTCTAGAGCAAAGTTCCAACCTGTAAGATGCACCTAACCACATATCGTGTGACACACTCTTTTGACTAGACCAAAGCCCCGAGGCGACCCTTTCTGTCTTAGTTTATATGTACCTACTATTGGTTTCTAACTTTCAATCAAATGTGGTCAACATATTAATCTATTAATTAGTGAAATTGACCATTAGGGTCAACTCTATCCCTCCGGGGGTAGGGTTAAGGTCTGCGTACACTCAACCCTCCCAGACCCCACTTGTGGGATTTTACTGGGTCGTTGTTGTTGTTGTTGACCATTAGGGTCAACTTTGCCCACCTAAAATAGGACACTAGGGTTACTTAAGAGCCCATTTGGATTGGCTTAATAAAAGTGGCTTTTAAACATAAGTGCTTAAAAACACTTTTTAAGTGCTTAAAAGCACTTTTTAAGTGCTGGAACTTGTTTTATAAATAAGCAGTTAAGTGTTTGGATAGAAGTGCTGAAGCTGGAAAAAAGTTGTTGAAGTGTTTGGTAAATAAGTGTTGGTAAGTACTTGTTTCTGTTAAAATGACTGAAATATCCTTAAAGTTGTTAACATTATAAAGAAGATGATTACGATAATATTTTATTCTAATTTATAATTTAGTTCACTTTCAACTTAAATTGATTGCCTAAATATAAATAATTTATTTAAATAACATGCAATAATCTATTATTTCACCAAAAAATATTTTTTCCGCTCATAGCTTCAAATTCTAGGTTAACATGTAGAATCAATTAAAATTTTGATTTAGAATATAGTTTCGCCAATTTAAAAAAATAAAGGATTCAACAGCATTTTTTTTAGAAAAAATGATATGGAACCCTCAGGGGTTGGTCTGGTGGCAATTGACTTGAGCCTTGGGGTTTGCTCCCTTTCAAGGTCTCAAGTTCGAAACCCACTGGGTGCAAACAATTTCTGAGGGCCATCGGACTGGGTAAAACCTGAATTAACCATGGTGCACTTGCGGGAAACTCGTTGCCGAGGGCCTGTGCACCCCCGGGATTAATCGGGGCTCGAAAAGACTCGGACACCCAGTGCTAATAAAAAAAAATGTTATGGAACCAAAAAAGAAGCTAAAACAAAACAATGTATACAAAATATTAGAATGTATTAAACATTTACAAAGCTACAGTTGGCTTTACGTTTACAACTCAAAGAAATTGATAAAATTTTGGGGAATGGTAGCAGAAAGCTTGAAAACGGCCATTAGATGACACGGATTTAATTAGTAAGCGAAGGATAGTTTTGGGTATAGAAAAAGTAAAAGGGATAATAAGGTAAATTCTTGGTCAAACATAAGGGGCTTATAAGCCAAAAAGCAATAAGTTGGGCAACCCCAACTTATTGCTTTTGGCTTGTTTTGGGTGTTTTAGCTTAAAAGCACTTTTATTGTATATCCAACCACTCAAATAAACCCAAAAGTGCTTTTAAGCTGGTTTGACCAGCTTTTAAGCCAATCCAAACACCCTCTAAGCTTGTTGCCTTCTAAAGGTATAGACATGTCCAAGTGTTCTGTAGGTGTCAGCCTGTAAGGTGGAGACAACAGGTCATTAGAATAAAACGGTGGAGACTACTGACCAGGGCAGACGTCACAGATCTTGATGATAGGTGAAGCTGATGAATGCGAAAAAAGTTGACTGTTTTTGTCTTGTGGAAAGATCAAGTGATCTCAACATATGAGAGCCTTGTTATTTTGGTGAAGCTGTAGGTTTAACTTGGTTAATTCATTAATTGTCCTAACATGACTAGCCGGCCTGTCACCACTGCTGTAATGTGTGATGGACCGATATTTTTTTTTCTTGATAGACGGTTGTTTTTGATAATTGAACTTGATTTTCATTGAAGTGGATACACTAAACAATCTCTTATATAGAACTCACATGACGAGAAACTTTTTTATAAAGTCAGTGCTTCTAAAATTGATTATTCCCTTTTAAGACATTTTTGAGTTGCTTGCACAACTTGACATTTTCTTGTATTGCTCAAAGAAATCTTTTGGGAAGTGTTACTCTAAGTGAGTAATCGACTAAATTCTTTTGCCTATTTTGTCTCTGTGGGTCCTCATGTAGTCTGTGTCCTGCAGGAACTTAAGAACTTTGTTTCTGGAAGAGAGTTCTATAGTTGAGAATGATGGAGAATGGGTGCATGAACTAGCGGTGAACAACCCAGTTCTTGAGAATTTGAATTTTTACATGACGGATCTTGTGCAAGTTAGAGCTGAAGATCTTGAATTGATAGCAAGAAATTGTAAATCTCTCGTCTCAATGAAAATTAGCGAGTGCGAACTTGCCAATCTTCTTGGCTTCTTTAGAGCTGCTGTTGCATTGGAGGAGTTTGGTGGTGGCTCATTTAATGACCAGCCAGAACCTGTTGCCGAAAATGGCTATAACGAGCAATTGGAAAAATATGCTGCAGTTGTTTCCCCTCCAAGATTGTGCCAGTTGGGCTTGACGTACTTGGGGAAATATGAGATGCCCATTCTCTTTCCTATTGCTTCTCGTCTGACGAAATTGGATCTTCTTTATGCACTTCTTGACACAGCAGCCCATTGTTTCTTACTGCAAAGGTGCCCCAACTTGGAAATTCTTGAGGTTAAGTCACTCTCAAAAGCTTTTCTCACCCTCTTTTCTTTATGCCAATAGCTATTTACACTTGACACCAACACTCAAGCTGCTTTGGTTGATTGCACAACTTTGATATCAGAAATTGAGCATTTAATGAATTAAAAAAAACTATTTGTTTACAAATTTTGCTGTGGAGCATGTGTAACTTTTATGCTTGGCCAGCTGTATTCGTGAATCTTACACAATTTGCTATCTACCAATGAGACTAAGTTGACACTTTAACATGTGGAAATGACTGATGCTGTGGAGAGCATTTATGTGTAGTTGCAAGTTCTTGTTTCTGCATCTGAAAGATACCACTCCCACATTTAGAGAGGAAAAGAAAAATAGTAGATGAGAGAAATGTTTTTTTGCTGAAGTTTATAACTTAATGCTGTTTTCTTTCTGTTATCATTTCTAAAGCAGACAAGGAATGTTGTTGGGGATAGAGGATTGGAAGTGCTTGGCCAGTACTGTAAGAGGTTAAAGCATCTCAGGATTGAGCGAGGAGCTGATGATCAGGAGATGGAGGATGAACAAGGTGCAGTTACCCACAGAGGATTGACTGATTTGGCGAAGGGATGCCTTGAACTAGAATACATGGCTGTTTATGTGTCAGATATTACCAATGAAGCTTTTGAAAATATTGGCACATATTTGAAAAATCTGTGTGATTTTCGGCTGGTTTTGCTCGACCGAGAAGAGAGAATAACAGATCTACCTCTTGATAATGGTGTCCGTGCTTTACTAAGAGGTTGTTATAAGCTTAGAAGGTTTGCCCTCTATGTCCGGCCAGGGGGCCTTACTGATGTAGGTCTCAGTTATGTCGGGCAATACAGCCCAAATGTGAGATGGATGCTTCTGGGATACGTTGGGGAATCCGATGAAGGCCTTCTGGAGTTCTCTAAAGGATGCCCTAACCTGCAAAAGCTAGAAGTGAGAGGCTGCTGTTTTAGTGAGCGTGCATTAGCTTTGGCTGCCATGCAGCTAAAATCATTAAGGTACTTGTGGGTACAAGGATACAGGGCATCTTCAACTGGTCGGGATCTCTTGGCGATGGCTCGGCCATTCTGGAATATTGAGTTGATTCCTGCAAGACGAGTTGTTGCCAGTGAGGGAAATAATGGAGAAACTGTAGTTGCTGAGCATCCAGCCCATATACTTGCCTACTATTCTCTTGCTGGACAAAGAACCGATTTTCCACACACAGTCAGGCCTTTGGACCCAAATTCCCTTCTCGCTGAATAGGTTTGTAAATATAACTTGCCCTTGAGTCATGCTGGAATATTGAGGTTTATTTGCTTCCTACTAGGTGTCTTGTCCATATGTATGCCTCTTATTTTCCTCTTAATTTTTCTTCCCCTTTTTTCTTGATGAGAGTTTTATTTTTCCACATTGATTTTGATATTTTATTTTAGACATGCAATCCTCTGTAATAAGTTTGCTTTCCTCGGAAATCTGTAATTTAACAGTTGGTGATCTACCTTTTCTAATCCATGACCTCAACTTGTTCTGTGCTTTGGGTTAATAAAGCGTCTATTTTTTTATTTTTTTTTGAGAAATGGTGAGTTAGATTTTATTGCTACAATGCTAATAGCTTGTTTGGTCGAGCTTCAGAAATCAGCTTATTTTGAGAAATATTTTTTTCTCAAAAGTATTTTTCTCAAAAGTACTTCTGGTGAGAAGCAGTTTGTGTTTGACTAATTAGTTTGAAAAGCTCTTCTGAGTAGTAATTAATGTTTGGCCAAGCTTTAAAAAACTGTTTCTAAGTGTATTTTTCTCAAAAGTGCTTTTCAAAAAAGTGCTTTTGGAGAGAAACTACTTTTTTCTGCTTCTCCAAAACTGCTTCTCTTCAAAAACACTTTTTTTTCCTTCCAAAAGCTTGGCCAAACACCTCAATTTTTGGCCAAAAAGAAGCTTGGCCAAACACCTCAATTTTTGGCCAAAAAGAAGCTTGGCCAAACAGGCTATAATTAATTTGAAAAGCCCTTTTGAGAAAAAATTAGTATTTGACCAAGCNGCTCGTGGGCTTCGCGGGCCTAGCGTTTTTTTTTAAGACAATTTCTTGTAGTATCATGGCTATATTAAAAATATATATGTAGTATATATGTAGATCTAATTATTAAAGTGCTTGACGAAAAAGAAAAATAACAAAACAATAGTAAAACACTAAATTGTCATGTATAATATATTGTCTTGTAGTATATATATTGTATCTTATGTATATATATTATAACTTATTACTTATATATTTTCTTGTAGTATATATTGTATGTTATGTATATATATTCTCTTATATATTTTCTTGTAGTATATATTGTATCTTATATATATATATATTCTCTTATATATTTTTGGCCAAAAAGAAGCTTGGCCAAACAGGCTATAATTAATTTGAAAAGCCCTTTTGAGAAAAAATTAGTATTTGACCAGGTTTTAAAAAGTGTTTCTAAATGTATTTTTTTCAAAAGTGTTTTTAAAAAAAGTGCTTTTAGGGAGAAACTATCTTTTTCTGCTTCTCTAAAACTGCTTCTGCTTCTATTCAAAAACATTTTTTTCCCTTCCAAAAGCTTGGTCAAACACTTTTAACTAAGAGGGTATTCTGGGCCGGACCCGGGCCTTCGTGGGCCAAACAGGCCGGGCCTCG